TAAGTGTGAGAATGGTCATACAAGTGGGAGGTTTAGATAGCTATAAAACCAGGTTTAACCCTCCCCTTTTTTCATCGGAAAATACCCCTGTTCCAATTTAGGAATAAGGCAGTTGTTTTTCACTTGTTCCGTTGATAGATAGCGTTTGATTGTGACAGATTTTTTAAACTTTCCCTTTTTGATTTGCTTTGGAGTTTGGTACTTTTGGTATATTTTTTTTTCAGTTGCATATCAATTATTCAATAAGGGAAATTATCTGTTTCGTTTTCATTTAAAATTGCCTATTATCAAATAGAAATATTTCCAGATTACAGAAAGTATTTCGGTTTAAGTTGGAATTTTGAATGAATAATCAGATAGTTTGCATTTAATGTTCTACCATTTGGCATTGTTAGCGCTGTTAAGTATTGGAGGGGTCGCGGTTTAAAGATCATAATGTATCTAGATGATGGTCTGGGTGGAGACAGTAATTTTGATTGTTCATAACGTGTTGGTACTTTTATAAGACAGAGTTTGGTTTCTTAATTGCAGAAGGGAAATGTATATGGTTGCCTGAACAGAATATTACTTGGATAGTGTTAGTTTGGGAAAGGCAATTTAGAAAATTGAGTATCAACGAGGAAAGAGTTGAAAGAGATCGTTTGGTTATTGACAAGACACTTAAACATAATTTATACGTAAAGGTAAGCTTTTGCACAATTCTAGATTTGTTGGACAATTGATGATTGCTTTTAAAATCAGATTTTTGATTGTAGTATTTCTTTTGCACAGGAAAAAGCAGGAACAGTTTGTACGTGATGCAGTGATAAACAGTGTAAGAATGAAGCTCATGTTTTATACAGTTTGGTTGCCAGCTTATCTACGCATTTATTGGATTCAAGAAGTTATATTACTGTGAAAAAATATTACTATCGTTTGTTTATAGTAGGAAAAATTTGTTAGCATATTTTGTTTAGTTTCAATGCCTGCCTCACCTATGCATGTTGCATTGTATTAATCGAATTTACTAGATTCCGGTTCATCTTACAGAACAGTATATTCTGCTGTCTTCTCAAACAAATGGGCACATGAAATTGACCCTACAAATAATTTTTTTGTTCAGAGTTTAGTTGAATCTGCTAAAAGAATTGCTAAACCTGTTGTTAATAAGAAAGATCCAGTCACTACTGATATCTTAATTCGGTTATGTTCTAGGTTTCAATTGTATACATATTTACTGGTGTTTAGATGTCTGTTGACGCCGTGCTTTGTTTCGGTGGGTTTTTATGTTTTAAGGAGTTAAGTCAGCTAAGATGTAACGATTTTACAGTAAAAGATGACCATTTAGTTATAAAGATAAGGAAGAGTAAAAATGTCCAGTACCAATCAGAAGATGAGATTTGTAAGGAGCATACTTTGGCCTTGTTTTTATGCTATGTTTCTTAAATATGTTAGTTTAGCAGAATATTTGTAAGATATGTTTTTATTTCGTGCATTGTATAGAATGTGCTTTAATTAGTATTAATAAACATATTAGTTATACTACTGCAAGGGAGTGTATTATTGAGAGATAAAAACTAGTTGCACCTGAATTGAATCTTAGGTTGCATTCACCTAGGTCTGGTGGTGCCACCATGGCGGCAACCTCGGGTGTCAAAGAAATATATCGAAAGCGTCATGGTAGTTGCAAGAGTCATTCAAGCAAAGACCGCTATGTAGAAAGTAGGTTAGCTGTTTCAAAAACTTTAAACATGTATTTTATCTAAGACATGTATAAAAAGGTTTCATATTTTTCTATCTTTGTCGGTCTATACATAACTCGAGCTCATCAACAAACATTAAGTTTGGGTTGTGTTTTCATTAAGTGGCTTGGTTTAATGTATTTAGTGGAAGGAAGACTAAAAACATTCCTGAGGCGCAGAAGTATTACGAGAATTGATTGCTTTCTTGTGCACGTGTTACTTTGAATTTTAGCATCAAAACATTAGGTTGTAAAGCGACGGCTTTATGTATTCAATTCTATAAAAATAAGAAGATGTGGCATGATGGCCAATGAGACAACTATCCACTAGAGACCAATTGACACAAACGTTAACAATTATAGGTCACCGAACGGCCTTCAACGATGAGCAAAACCTATACCGCATGCTAGTAGTCAGCTATAAAAGGGTACGAAATGACAAATGTAAAACAATTAGTTGTTCAGTTTTTCAATTTCAAAGGTTAACATGAGATTAGTTTTCTAGTACGAATTATTGAATTCATATTGTATAGTGTATAGTGTATAATGTTTATATTTATCATTTGTCTTATTAAATTGGCAGCTCACAATATACAGTACTCGAGCTGGTCAACAAACGTAACTTTGTGTCGTGTTTTAACTTAGTAGTTTGGTTTAATGTATTAAGACATTTAATATACTGCTTTCTACGTTAATTTTTATCTTCACATTTGTAAAGCGACGGCTTTATGTATTCAATTCTTTAAAAATAAGAAGATGTGGCATGATGGCCAATGAGACAACTATCCACTAGAGACCAATTGACACAAAAGTTAACAATTATAGGTCACCGAACGGTCTTCAACGATGAGCAAAACCTATACCGCATGCTAGTAGTCAGCTATAAAAGGGCACGAAATGACAAATGTAAAACAATTAGTTGTTCAGTTTTTCAATTTCAAAGGTTAACATGAGATTAGTTTTCTAGTACGAGTTATTGAATTCATATTGTATAGTGTATAGTGTATAATGTTTATATTTATCATTTGTCTTATTAAATTGGCAGCTCACAATATACAGTACTCGAGCTAGTCAACAAACGTAACTTTGTGTCGTGTTTTAACTTAGTAGTTTGGTTTAATGTATTAAGACATTTAATATACTGCTTTCTACGTTAATTTTTATCTTCACATTTCAAGTAGATGTATTTCTCATAATTTTCAAAACCTTGCATAGTGGATAAGATAATATTGTTTGTTATTGGGTACTATAAATCGGGTTTTAAGACCCTTGACTGGCTGTATGACCTTAGAAGGTAAATTGTAGTTCATCATTGAGACATTATAAATGAGGTCAATTTTATATGTTAAAATGGCTTTCATTTTTTCATGTTTTATTAAGCCTACCCACAAAAAGTCCACATATTTTTTCTATACTGTTACAATAATATTACAGGAGAAAACAGAAAGATTATGAATGTGTTTTATATTTTAGTTTCTTTTCGCCTTTGTAACTTCAGGAGAAATAAGTCTAAATTGCAAACCGTTGGTGCAACGGTTACTTGCAACGGTTGCTGGAAAGCATAATCGAGTACACGCAATACTGTTTGCTATGAATCCGAATAGTACTTACGTGGAATTATTACCAAATTGCATCTCAAAATCCTTCAAGTACTTGATTATGATTTTTTTTAAAACATATGTTGATATTAAGTGTATACATCAATTATTTTCAAAAGTTCAATGACGGCTCCCAGTTTGTACTACGGTTAGAACGATAGAAAATCGGGAAACCTCTTATAAACGTTTGTTTTAACCACCATTTTCTACACAAGGAAATGCCTGTACCAAGTCAGGAATATGACAATTGTTTTCCATTCGTTTGATGAGTTTGAACTTTTGATTTTGCCATTTGAAAAAATGACTTTCCGTTTTGAATTTTTTCTTGGAGTTCGGTATTTTTGTTATTTTACTTTTTACATGGTGCCGCAAATATCTTTTTTTTTAAATCATGTCGTCTCTTGTTCGTGAACGTTTTTTATGGTTTGCCAAACCCAATGTATAAATAATTATACAGTGTACTATGAGCCTCACAATCTAACAATGATTAGTTAGAAATTAACTTCACGAAATTGTAATGTTATTCGTTATAAAACTTAGAAGATGTGGTATGATTGCCAATAAGAAACCTCTCCACCATAGACCAAATAGCGTTGATGTAATACACTAAAGGTAGTCGTACGGCCTTCATTTATTAGCAAAACCCATACCGTAGAGGCAGAAATAAAAAGACGTATACTGAAAAAATGTTAAACAATTCAAACGAAAAAGCAATGGTCTGATTTATGTACAAAACAATATACAAAAACAAATATGATAGACAGCGACCACGACAACCACTGAATTAAAGGCTACTGATTTGGTACAGACACATACAGAATGTGGCGGTGTTTAAAATGTTACCGAACGTTCAATCCTACCTCTAACCTGGGTTAGTGATGTAAAAGCACAACATAAGAAAAAAATATTAAAACCAGTTAAAATAAGCTTGACTCATCAGATCGACACACAGCCAAAAACAACTTACAAATAAATCGTGTTTCACAGACAAATCAATCAGTACGCATCCAATAGATTTAGTGTAAAGACCTACTAAATAGTCTTTAAAAAAATTCCAGCATATAATCAGCAAATTTATAACTATTCTTGGGTGGTATTAAGCATTGTTGTTTCAATCTATTATCAATTTATAGATTTCTACTTCTAGGGTACTTTATCAATATATATTTATGAAATTACCTTTAGTGTTCGGTTATATTACATGAAAATATTTGATGTGCAGGCATTTTTTTACAACAGAGAACATAGAGTTAAAGACATTACATATATTTTTTTCATATGCGTTGATTTAGCTACATGTGAAAATAAGTGGATAACAGAGTCGGCTGGTCTGGATTATTGTAAACGTTATGGAGTAGTTACAAATCCGAATGCCTTTTCTTGTCACTTTTGTTGTACCCAAGATAAATGTAACTCCATGATAGTTCCGAATGCAACTACATGGTATACAAAGACCAATTAAAATGGCAGCAATTGATGTTATATAGGCAATAAATAGTCAAACAAAGTGTTCTTTGTTTGCTTCAACCTGATTTCAATATTAGTTTATATGTTTAATAGCATTTCTACTTTTAAGTACATTACAGATATACAATATATGTGCATTGTCGGAAAATATAAAATTGATTTGTATGAGCTTTAGAAACAGGACGAAAAGCGAGGCTCGCCGACCTTTTCTCCTGTTTCGTAGCGAGTACAAATAAATTTTATATTTTCCGATAATGTACATATATTGTTTTTAGCCAGAAATTTAGTTTAGTTTACTTTAGTTGTTAAAATCTAAATCATTGTCTCTAATTTTTCAAAGAAATCGACATAGTTTAAACGCGGACCGCGAAGAGGACCCCAAAATGAACAGGTACGCAAAAAGAAATATCCACATTACCGCTTGCTCAACATGGAAGAGGGGTAACAGGAGACTTTATTTGTACAGCGAATATTTATTTGTGTACCTGTTATTTGTACAATAGTTGGCTGATTGCAGGATAAAATTATATATAATATATATACACATTTTTTAATGATTGATTTATCTGACAAATGTTATCTAAGTATGTGTACAATTAAATTAGGTAAAGGGGCATTCTATCAAATATCATTAAAAAATAAGTAAAAATAGCTTTGTTATTAAATTCCTATTTTACTTATTCAAAGACATTAATAGGCATTCGAGCTGGAATTTAAAACTTTTCCCAATATGACCGAAAACTGTCATGTAACCAATGACAACATTCATCATATAACATAACTTTCACATGGAATCTTTCCAATGGCAACACATTGCCATACATTAGCCTTAACGTGGTTTCATTCATTTCCAGACTGCATCATTCTAGTAAACAGACACGAAAATAGGAATTGCAAAATGGTGATCCCATAAGCATCATGTATATGTTCAAATCAAAATTACTAATAAAACGAAAGATATAATGATGAACAGCGAATCGAAACTCGCATTTAAAATCAATCGTTGTTGTTCAACTAAGGGCATGTTTAAAGGAAGATAATATATTTTTTTTGAATTGATACTATGCTTTTTCTTATTTTCACGCTTTCAATGGTTTTATTTATTCACTTGCTTTTTAATCTGATATAAAAATATCAAATGAATATGGATAATTACAATAACATGAACATTGCCAAGCATGAAGAAAAGAAAATTAACGACTAGGACAGATAAAACATCTATATAAACTTTAAGAACAGAACTAAACATTCATTTGGAAAAAAAAGGTTTACGACAGAATAGAAAAAAAAACAAGAAAAAAATTGGATAAAGTGTGAATATAATGCTAATATTGTATTACAAAAATGGCATATATACAATGTTTGCATTTGTTTACAATATGTTCTCCAACTATACAACAATTAATCGAAAAGAAACTAAACAAAAAGTAAGTTACAAAGTATATAATGATATTCATTATGTCATATATATCATACAAAGCATTCACAGACGTTCATGATAATCTTATAAAACAATGACTTTAAAATGTTTTGTAGAAATCATTTGCAATTGTTTTTTTACCGCAAACATTAGATTTTAAGCCAATCTTGATCTTGCTACGAAAGTAATGTATCTATTTCATCAATGATGTAGACTTTGGGGATGAAATACATTCAAAACATCCAGTAGTACAGCAATGGTGAAATCCAATTATCCCAGAATCCTGTATTTGGTATAAGTGGAACTAAAAAAAAATATTGATCAGTTCATAATTATAAATTAACCCTTTTTAGAATTTTGAATTTATTCGAAATACTAAGCATTTTTCCTCAGAAATAGATTACCTCAGCTGTATTTGACAAAACCTTTCGGAAGTGTTTGTCCTCAATGCTCTTCAACTTCGTAATTAAATTTCCCTTTTTATCTTTTTTTATTTGAGCGTCACTGATGAGTCAGTTTGTAAACGAACGCGCGTCTGGCGTACAAAATTTAAATCCTGGTATCTATGATGAGTTTATTTATTTATTATAAAGACTGTCTTTTAACAAAATAAACTTTATCTGGTGTTATTTCTTAAGGACAACACCAAGGTTAATTGAACAAAACGAACAGACAGAGAACCGTCATCAAAGTATTTCACATTCATTTGCAACACGCTTGTGTTTGATCAGTTAAGGTGGTACCCAACACCTTGACTAATACTAATTTGGCTCGTTTAATTTTCCTAAAAATTTGACAAAATGTTTACTTTGACCCCTTGACAAAAATATAAAAATTTCAAATAATTTGAACCAACCACTTTATCAGAAAAATTTCACTGGTTATATAGCAGTTTGACAAACACTAATTTTGATCATTGAGAATCTTGATATTTCCTTAACAATACAACATGATTAAAACGTTTAGCTGATTTCTACAGAGTTATCTCCCTGTAGTGTTAGGTACCACCTTAATACTTATACAATTATATTTCATCAGTTAACGCAAAATGCATCGAAATGTATATCAATTGTCGTGTTGATAATCTAATCTAATATAGAAGAAGATTAAAAACAAGTATATAATAACTATAAAAAAAACAGCCTCACATTTTAACATTCAATGGTTAATATGAGTTAAACATATATATACAAATAATTTGAAATAATTTGAAATATTTGAAATGGTTTTGGCTTTTGAAATAAGTTTGAATAGTTTTGGTTTGTTTAATGTGTGCATCAGATATTTTAAGTGGTTACAATGGGGTACTGCATTTAAAATGCATATTATTCTCTGGAGTCGGTAAAATAGATAACAATTTTAAAACTGTTAAGCAGGGAATATTTACACATTTGCAAAATAGTTTCAAAACACGATTCGTGTCTGTCAATTGTTGAAAAACAGAATGTGTCTGGATAAGTTTTAGTTATACCCAAATAACACTGCTTTGGAGTTTTCGAAAAAGGCACGGCTAAAATACCAAACAATGCCAATTGTTTGTAGAAAAACACGTCCCCCAAAAGTAACAAACATGTTGTCAATCAAAAAATCAAGCATCTTAATAAATCAGTTTCAGAGAACTTTTTGTTTGAATCAGAGTACTTTTTTTTTTTTTTTTTTTTTTTACAAAGTACGATTTATTCCTCCCTAAAACAAGATACGTTGGCCATTGTTTTTCATGAGACAAAGCAGGACCAACTCTTTCAATTTGTCTTTTAGTTTGGAATGGGGAATACTTGTGTAAAGGGTAGAAAAGTCAAATGATACTATTGCAAGATGAAAGAGTCTTATATTGTATGAACTCGTACAGATCTTTGGAATTTTTAAGTATCACCATCTGATCAACGACACCTCTAGAATAGGTATTTTCACAAAAACTTTGAATCCCGGCTTTGATTGCTGATAAAATTGATGTTAATAATTTAGAAAGAGGTTTCGTGGAGCAATTTTAAGACGTTGTTTGTAAGGACATTTATGTAATTTAGGTATCCAACAAAGTGAAATAAGATCCAATTCTTCGTCTTTGGTTGAAATTCCAAAGGAACATAGAAAGGACCTATGAGTTTTCATGATTTCTTCCTTGGTAAGTGTTGTAGGGGTATAAGTTGAGTTTCCAAGTGAATTGTCAATACCTAATTCATTTATCAAGCAGTTAGTGTAATGTGATTTACACACAAAAACGATGTTGTTGGAGGCTTTATCTGCAAAGACAACTACATATTTTTCATGGAGGCAGGACAGGTTCGCAACATTGGGTCTTTAAAGATTGATCTAGCTGGCGTTTTCAGAGACCCATTCATTTTTTTAGTTCTGATTTTTATCAACGACCTCACAGCCTCAATCCATTCGGAAATAGTATAAACGTCTTCTTTCTCGTGATTATTCCATTGCCTAGAATAAACGCTTTTCTGGATTTACCAAGAATGGATAATTACTTTAACACATAAAGAGCTGTATGAACAAATGACCCTAAAAAGAATAGCTATATATGAGGCTAACTTTGCCCGATGGAGTTAAAATCTTAGTTTATTATAATATATAAATGTATCAAAGGAATCGAATGTTATAAATGATATCACGACAGTACCAAAGTACTGTCTTATGAACCGTTGATGTTATCCCCGGGGGACTTGCCAAACTTATCTTGTAGAAACAACAGAATGACTTTTAAATAAAAATCTTACTTGTTTCCGTTGTTGTAACCGGAGCTGCTGTATAAATTGTATGGATCGGATCCACTACGGCTGGTGTAGGGAATGGATCCACTACGACGTTTGGATTTAGTCCATAGTCATAATAGTAATAGTCTGGAAACGGTTTATTGTCTGGCCACCAATAATCCCAATACTGAGGTGGGATAGTGACTGGTACTGTAGTGGCAGCCGTTGTGACTTCTGTGGTGGTTGTTACCAGTACGGATTTATACCCAATCAGAAATCCAGCTCTTCTGTTCTTTGAGTCAGTTTTGAAGGTAATGCTTATAGATTTATCAACAATCGTTGTTCTGTTCCATTCTCTACGATCACATAATATAGTACTGGAATCTAAAACAATATTTTCATAACATTTGCTTTAAAAGCAGTAATTTTACACCGTGTACTTTATAACCTTGGAAAAACATTGGATTTTCCCAATATTTTAAGTGGTAATCTTTCAAAATTTAAATGCATTTTTTTTTTCATTTGACATACATTTACGTTTGTATAACACTTTTTAGCGATTTTTTTTACGGAGTATACGTCAATGACAAAGCAAACACTCGACAGTTAAATACCAATGGACTTCTTCAAAACTTGAAGACACTGTCATTTGCAAATATGGCGCTTCGTGTATATCAAAATCTTTGAACGATAAATTCAAAAAACATTGTCTGCGATATTTTCAATTGGTAGATGCTATTTTCAGACAAATGTTAAATGTAACTTGAATGCCAATGTTGCTAAACACCAAACAATTAATTAACTATGCAGATTATGTAAAAATAGTTTAAAAGAAATTAGAGAGCCCGTTCAAGCAATGACATAGCTTTACTAAACTAGACTTTCAAGTCAAGAAATTACGTTTTTTTTTTTTTTTTTTTGCATTACTTTTGAATTATAGCAAATGTACAATCTATATGTGTACGAATGTTCAAGTAAACATGTAATGATGTTAAGTTCATACTTGGGAAAAACAACTAACCATTCGTAGTTATATGTAACCGGTGATAAGAACAGTTATCATTTTGGTCTACGTCCAGTAAATACACAACTAACTGTACAGAATCTGTTCCGTTGACTGTTATATTCCAACTACAATCACTGTTCCTGTTTTATATATAAGATTTATAAAGATTATTAGAGTTTCGAAATTACTTGTATTTGAAATGTTAGACGCTTGGTCCCTTGTTAACACATTTTCTTATATCATATTATTTACATGTTCGTGTGAGTGGTGATGGTGATTTGAAACGACAAGTATGACGACTTATAAAGCTACAATGGATAATATTCACGAATTACGTTGCATGATGAGAACGGCACTATTTTTATATGCTCTTACAATAATAGACAAGAGAAAACATTAGTCCACAAAAGCACCAAAGCAAAAGCATTGCGTATGACAAAAATCAATAAAAAAAAATAGTAGTGAACGCATTTGCTCCGGTAGGGTATTATACTCCTCAACCACCATTGATACCCATCTTGTTTAAAACTTGCAATGATCCTGTGATAAATCGTATGGTACGGTCAATTGCTGTCCGACATAAGTGTAGTAATTTATCTCCTCTATCTTGTACTCAATTACTGTCCGATGATTATGAATATTCTCCGCTGAGCTGTTTAAATGCCAAATACGTACCATACCAAGGCCAGAAAACCTAGATTTTTACTACAGAATTTGGTCATATTTGACAAATATATTCCGTAACAATCAACAAAGTCAAGATGATGTTACTATAACAATCGAAGCAAACTAAATGCGTATATAAAATAAACGGTTGCATTTAGAGTGTATATATGTATTTTTGTACTACAGCATTACATTACAGATAAGTAACTCACAATGGATAGTCATCAGGAAATCTTGGACTCGTTATGAATTGCTCGGTTTCCTCAGCTAACAACTTCTGTGTCATTTGACAGCCGGTACCAGCTTAAAGAAATGATAGGTTAAAAAAACTAAATCAGAAAGACAGTTATACAGTATAGCAACCTTAGCATTACATCAAATTATCATTGAATTATAAATAATGAAAATGTTAGTTGATAAAAATGGTGACAAGGCAGTGGCGGATCCAGAACTTTTTATAAAAGAGGAGGGGGTGGCACTGACTACCATAAGTGGGGGCACTCTACAGTCATGCTTCAGTGATTCCCTATATAATCAACCAAATTTTTCTCACGAAAGGGGGGCCGGGCCCGCCAGGCCCCCCACCCCACCCCCTGGATCCGCCTATGCAAGGGCATATTTGAAAGTTCCTTAAACAGTATATAATATAACCCTCAAGGACACAATATTCATACACATTTCACGTTCATGAAATGTTGATATATTTAAGTATTTGATTCTCCTACTTAAAGGTTCAAATGCATCCCGTTATTACCTTCACACAGTACTAAAGTGATGCAATTCGACAATTGCACTCTCAAAAATTTGCCTTTTCGTTATTGTTGTTAAAGCTGTTACCTGATTCAATAATGCTATCTATTGATATGCTTCTTATTCTTGTTAATTTCTTAGACTAGTTAAGTTCTATGGCTAAGTTCTAGACAGTTTGATAAAGAATGGATTAACTGACAGTTTCTGTGTTTATGTTAGTAAAAAAAAACATAAGAGGCATCTCTCATATAATGTTTTTACGATACTTATAAATCTGGTTATGCCTTAAATCCAACCGACATAACAACCGATTTAGCTGACCTTAGAGGGGGATTACTGCCCATCTGATAAGGAACGTTTAATTTAGAACATAAATTAAGATAAACCATCCTTTTTGCATGGTAAAGATCTCGTAAATCATCAGCTAAATTCCTAGCCCTTATAATTTACTATTGTTTTAATGGCATATAAAATTATTTGTTGCTACCAATTTCCAGTTATTTTTATCTAGTCCTCAATATGCATAAAATGTATGAGAACCAACAATAGAATGATATAAACGAGTACTGCTGATTGTTTACATGGTTGAGTATTTTTTACTTTAAACCCATTAAGTGGTCTATATCTTAATTTATCAAATGTTTAAGATTTTTTGCATGTTTTTGCAAAAAAACAACATGAAGATGAATATCACTTACATGAATCATGTGCTGGGAGAAACTTCATCATGAATCCAATCCCTGGGTCTGATTCAAAGTCCCCCGACTTAAATTCTACATACACTGAACCAGTAATCAGTATCGGTTTTGTTATATTGAAGTCGGTTTTGCAATCAAATTCATCAAAAACCGTTAAACCGGAGGAACTTTCTCCTTAAAAAGAATAAATGTATCATAAAATACTTAATTATAAATATATAGGCATAATTTTTTTTTAGCCATGATTACATTAAATAAGAGAAAAATCATTTTGTTTCAGCAATATAATTCTAATACAAAAAAATCATTATCTAAAAAAAATTCTGATATTGAGGAAAGAGTTTGCCTTTAAATGGTATTTAAATTACTAATTTCTAAGACTTTTTATTAAAGTTATAATGATATAATATACCTAAATATACTCGCACATAGTCACGCGGGCATTTCATTTTCCAAATATCTATCTGAAGAAGTATTTTCATGTCAGTTGGTGTGTTTGCTTCAGTTTTGATAATCCACGAACATGTAGTGTTCCTACAAAATAGAAAAAAAAGGATTTTGCCAGTGCATCTTGTGTACATCAAATGAAAATAACACTTTTAAATTTCGTGCGTCCAAAGCGCTTTTCTGGACTTACCTTCATCAAGAATGCTCAAACTCAAATATTTCAAAGCCATAGATGTATCTAAACATGTGATGAAAAATATGACCAAAAGAGACCTTAATATAGCCATTCTGCTCAAGCCGTCTTAAACTTGCAGTGAGGTGAGTGTTTTTTTTTGCTCCGTGTTGAAGGCCTCACTGTGAATTTGAGATGAAGAACAGCAATACAAGCGCTGTTCCTTTGATTTTTATGTGGTTTTTGCTGTGCATGTACTGATTTTGTGTACTGGATGGATACCCCATATCCTTTGCTTGTCTATTAAATTCATTTAAGGTCAAATTTACAGTACTTTTTTCATGAAATTTGCATGAAAGCTTAACCAGAACTTACAAATGAACAGTCGCAGGCTTAAACAGATGAGGTATGACTAGCATACAGACATAACTATATATTGATCACAGGCACTTGTTTCTGTAAATGGGGGGTTTACTATCCACACTTGTACGAAAAATCAGGATTTTTCGTACAAGTGTGGATAGTAGACCCGCCATTGACCGAAACAAGTGCCTGTGCTATTGATGTATTAGGAATATTATAAACAGTTCCGGGTGTGCTTTTAGCAACACCTTACAGTTGCACGCTTAAACAGATGATGTATGACTAAGATTTACAGATATAACTATCTATTGGTGTATAAAGAATATTTAAAACGACTATAATAATACAATGATTGATAGGAGGTACAACTCCTAGATAGTAAGTATTTAGTGGTTGCAATCAGAATATCATTCGTTTGAAAATATTAAGTATTACGTGTAACTTGATTTTAGTAGATAAAATGTCATATAATTCATATTGTACTTAACTTTGTTACAACGATCAGTAAACGTTCCCACGAAAAAGAATACTTGTTTAGGAGTTTAGATTGTTCCCATGAATAAGATATTTGTATAGGATTTTCGATTGTTCCTACGATAAGTATGTAATAGTATCTATTGTTTCCACGAACACAGTGTATGTGTTTCGATTGTTCCGATGATTATAATGTACGAGTTTCTATTGATTCCACAATAAGATTGCACGAGTTTCGATTGTTCCCATAATAAAAATGTTGGAGTATCGATTGTTCGCACGATAAAAATGTAAGATTTTCTATTGTTCCCACGATTAGAATGTTCAAGTTTCTATTGTTTCCACGATAAGATTGTAAGAGTTTCGATTGATCCCACGATAAGATTGTAAGAGTTTCGATTGATCCCACGATAAGATTGTAAGAGTTTCGATTGATCCCACGATAAGTCTGCAAAATATTTTTTGTTTCCACGAATACAGTCTTAGTGTTTCAGTTATTCCCACGATTAGAATGTACAAGTTTATATTGATTCTACGATAAGATTGTAAGAGTTTCGATTGTTCCTACGTTAAGACTGCAAGAGTTTCGATTGTTCCCACGATAAATATTTCCCTGAATATCAGTTTCATATGATACAAGTATTGATGTCCACGTAACTGACAGACAATCATTGATAATTATAATGGGGGGAATCGATTAGGGTTTAATAGCTATCAAATGAAAAAAAGATATAATTTATGTAAACTTTATTAGTGGTACTCACGCTTCATAGGAACCATTGTAAAAACCAGGTGATGTTATAACAGTTGGCTTGAATGATTTCAGTGTTACTGGCAGTCTTTCTCCACATTCACAATGACCTGTGTCATAAAATATAATGATGCTATTTAAGATATTGGAACTCTATTTGGTATCGGATATGCATGATTGTAAATGTTGTTACCTATATTTCAATGTAAAAGCTATGAATACGCACATAGTTTTTGTCTTTTGTCAATTCATGGTTTGTTTGTTTTTTTATTTCATTATTAATATGATTTATGATACTTAACAGCGATATGATGTGAAATTACACCAGGACTGTATCAATGATGATAATAGATAGGTGTTTAACGTCCAAGAAGGTTATCAAAGATGATGCTGAACGTCAAAGGAGTGTTTCAATTACGAAAATGGATTAATGTTTAACGCCAAGGGAATGTTTCACTTCAAAATGAGGAGGTTTAAAGATTTAAATACCAGAATAGCTTTCTGATATTTATCTATTTTCTAAATTTCGAATTATTTTACACTACTAAATAGGAACGATGATAGTGTCATTATGTCAGCTTTTCAAATAGCTTTAACATGTTTAATTTGCTGACCTCTTTAATATGTTTGTTTTTTTTTTATCTGTACAAACTACTAAATTACTGTTTCCCCATATCGTACAAAAATGGTCAAATGTTTGTAGAATATATGTATTAAAATATACAATTGAATTTCGTACATTCTTAGGCAGATACTTGTAAATATGTACTAAAAAATTGATTCTACTTGATAGTATACATAACATCTTGTTCATTTGCTTTGTCCCGTTTAAATCATTATCCACAGTAACGCCAAGATTTTTTGTTTTATTTTTTCTTTTTTTCGTGATCCTATTATCATAGATTAACGTTTACGTGGAGGTAATTGCATACAATTTTCAAAACACCAATCTATATTACGTTGAAGGTAATTGTTTAAAGTGTTAAAATCATCAGAACTTTCGTATAATGTAGAATCGTCTGCCTAAAATTCATAGAGGAGTTTTTAAACAAGGAGGTAAATTTTTAACGTATATGATAAATAAAAAAAGGACATATCATAGAGCCTTGGGTATACCAGTTTTTATCAAATAATGTAATTCCAATATAAACTTTTTGCAATCTCTCCAATAAATAAGACATGGACTATTTAAGAATATCAAAAATTTTGTTGACGCCAACTCTTTGAAAGCCTGATGGATGCCATTGTGAATTGATTGACATATCGAAAAATTCCTAAAAGACCATGAATAGGTTTTATTTGTCCTATCACAATACAATCCTCTCTTCTTCATCTATGACAATTGCCGACTGCGAATTAAAAACGGATCTTTATTTGACATAAGTCACATGACGGATTCCAATACGAAAAGCTTACCATTTATGAGCCTTTGACTTCATTTTGTTTTTTGGCGGGGTTCGTGTAACTAAATTTTAGTTTTTCGTAGAAATAATTGAGGATCATTGTTTGTCATTTCTTCATTTTTCTTTGACTATGGGTGAGTATGTTGTTTCAACAGAATATTGTATGGAAGACTTGAGGGGAGGTATCAAGAAGAAGCTCAGCAATTAAAAACGTTATTTTGTGCTTTTGTATTTCCCTTGCATTACATTTATAATGTACCTACATTTTTCTTCTCAATTTAATACACAATATTGGAATCGCCACTTACAATGAAATGTGCTTCAAAATCACACCTATTCACTCTATATATATATGAAACATTATGATACTAAAAAATGTCCGAACCTTCACATTAAAGTGAAAATGACATGTAATATGACTAGTCTCTTTCATTATTTGACAATATAGGTCATGGAGAAATCTAGTATTTTTATGTCATGTAATAAAATGTTAGGTCAATCTTAGTATACATGGTATATCTGAGGTTTAAAACGTTATCATACTGTTCATTCATCATTGTATATCTCATAAACGCTTCTTTGACATAAAAAATTAATAAAAAATAATTAACATTTGTTTCAGCAATTGATGAAAGAATACGATCACCTATGATCTGAAATAACATATATTTCACATGCATCAAGCCCTCGATGAATCTTTACAATTAATCATATTTTGGTCAATCATGTTTTCACAAGATGAACTAGGTTGTTTGTTGGCAAATATTTTGCATGGGATTCAAGTCATATTAAACTGGTTTTAACTAATGAAGATATTCTAGCAATTCGTATTTTTATATTTGTATATTTTGATTAATTGTTAAAAAATTACGAAGACACAAATTCCACTATCTTCTTGCAATATTTTTTCAGTTGTTAAAAACAATATTACCGACTATGTTTCAGAGGTATGTCTTTTGAGTTTTCGTGTAGTAACTATATATGTTAAATGTCAAGATGTTATTCATGCAGTGTTGTCGCAAAAATCAAAATACGTTCATTGCAAAGATTGAAAATAAATGTTCTTACGAAAAGAGTGTTGTCCCCTTAGAAGACTCTGCGACATTAGATTATAAAAATAGCACTTTTCTAGATAAGAATTTATCAGGAACCCTGTGCCAATGATCTTTAAGTAGTTCAATAAGGGAGGAGTTTTATTTTCAAAAGAAACATGAAAAATTTAAGGCCAGAAAATAAAAAATGAACTGATGATACCATCCCGAACTACAGTAACAGTCCATCAGCAGCTGTATCGACCCAGTGCAAGGAAATGAAAATAACAATTTCTTCATTTCTATATTTGGTGCGTCCGGGGCGCTTTTCTGAGTTTACCTTCACCAGGAACATTCATACCCAAAAATTTGAAGGTCCAAGAATATCAAAGTACTTGTATACGTGTCTGAGGAACTTTATGACCAAAATGGACATGGAAAGAATAGCAAAAGTCTTTCTTATGCTTTTTTAGGGGAGGAAGAACCTTAGTTTCTAAATAATTTATAAATTTATTATCAGAGAATATAAGTAAGATATGTCATATATCATATGAGCACTGAAGCACTGACTACTCGATTGATGATACCCTCGGGGACTAGCAGTCCACCAGCAGCGGTATGGACATTACATGCATATATCATATGAGCACTGAAGCACTGACTACTCGATTGATGATATCCTCGGGGAATAGCAGTCCACCAGCAGCGGTATGGACATTACATGCAATTTTTTTTCAATCTACTCGAACCACTTTACATTCATTTTTATAGTTAATGACCATATTACATTTTCCTCCCATAATAACCAATGTTGAGATACTTACTGACAGACATAATCAACTACACCTACACATTAATTATACATTCTATATTGAAAATATATATTATTCAGAAATAAATGTTTGACAGTTTATAATTTCCGAAATAGTCCGCTAAAATTATTTTTATAGACTTTGTAATTGCCTACGTAAAGCCCTTTGTTTGTTTCAGTATATATTACAGATTATTTTTTTTCATTTTCGTGAAAGTTGTCCAAAGAGAAAAGTTTAGCGAATAGATATGATATTTTAGCACTCTAGCGAAAAAAAATCGGACGTATAAGGATCAAAGTATAACTCATTTTAGGGTCAGATTTTTAGTCTATTTTAGAGTAAAATAAATATATCAATCTAAAAGTAAGAGGATGTGGTATATATGATTGCCAATGAAACAACTCTCCAACAGAGACCAAATTACAAATAAGTTAACAACTATAGATCACTAAAAGGCCTTCAACAATGAGCAAAACCTATACCGCATAGTCAGAATACGCGTTTCAGCGACACATTCTTTTTTCACAATATAAAGTAGTAGAATTATATAAATTTTGATATCAAGGCAACACTATGTATTAATGTCATATCAATTAAAATGGAATAATGAAAGTCTAAATACAGAATAATCATCTCATATTTGAGATCCGTTTGTGAACTCAAATGTTACAATATGAAAATAAGAAGATGTGGTATGATTGCCAATTAGACAACTATCCACTAGATACAAACTGACGAGGATGTATACCTCTATAGGACACGCCACGACCTTCAACAATGAACAAAACCGATGCCGTATAAGCTATAAAAGATCCCGACCTTACAAAATGAGAAACAATTCGAAAGAGATATCTGCTCGAAATATATAAGGCAGACATCAACCAACGACAACCACTGAATTATAGTCTCCTTATTTGAATTTGGGACAGGCACAAGAATGTGGCCGGGTTAACATGTGTGTTAGCGCGACCTTCCCCTTATCTGGTACACAGTGGTGTAACAGCTCAAAATATGAATACCAATAAAAATCAGTTTGAACAGATCTGACTCATCAGATAGGCACTGATAGCCGACAAAAAAACTAAGAAAAAGACAAAGACACAATTAACCGATCTAAGAATACTCGCAGTTTCTGGAAGGTAGTTCTAGACCAATTTCAATTTAAAAATTAAATTATATTTTCCCAGACTTAAATTAAGGACATATCCAATGGTTAAGTCCGTTCTAGTCGGGAATAAAGACAACACTACTATGAAAAACCATTTAAAATAAAGACCTATATTTTAGTCTGTTGTGCACTTTTAAAATGCAATAGTTTAACTTACCTTTGTATACAAATATTCCTAAAATTAAACTTAGTAAAAGCGAAACTGTGGGCATGATTTTTGTAATCACGTACTAATGGTTCAACTGACAGAATCCCAGGTAAAATTTGATTCAGTGTCCGTTAGTTTTGTGTATGTAGGTAAACTATATTTTGGGGAGAACAGTTTTGATAGGTTATTTATTGTACATGTTTGGTATTTGTGTCAGTAATATGTTTATCACATTAATTGCGATAAAATTACTTCTGCTCATATAAATAATTGGGTTATTTTTTATCAAATGGTTTATGAAGAGATATTTATTCTGCTTGTTTTCCCGGTTGTCGGAGGTGTGAATAATTATCAATTTTGTGATTATGTTTCTCCGGGTTGGGAGATATATCTATTTGTCAACAATGTATTCATATGCTACATAGTTTGGTTCATGAAAGATTTAAACCAAAAACTCCTATTTTTCATTGTTTTTCTTTACTGGTCGTGATACAGGGAAAATTGTAGTATTTTTTCCTCCACAGTCCTACAACTAAGCCCAA